GGGCAACTTTTTAAGGCCTGCATTCTGTTGTTTTGTTCTGAACAGATTTACTGTGGTATAATTGACAGTAAGCTGCGCATATTTACTATGTATAATTTGATGAGATGTGACGTATGTAAACATCTGTGAAACCATTACCATTATCAAGATCGTAAGCACACCTGTCACCCTTAGTGAACCTTCTCCTCTGTCCCGCATCCCCTCCCCAGGCAGCCATCGGTCCCCTCTGTGTCCCTGTAGATGAGTTTACATCTCTAGAGTTTGATGTAAGTAGAATCAAAGCACAGGTTGGGGGACGATCTGATTTGTTTCACTCAGCTTAATTATTTGGAGATTCACCCATGCTATTCCATGTATAAAGAATTTACTCCTTGTTGTTTCCACATAGTATACTATCATGGATGTACCACAGTCTGTCCATTCACTTATTGATGCATGTGGGGTTATGTCCGCTTTTGGCCACTAGAAATAAAGCTACTGTGAACACTTATCTACAAATGTTTATGTGGACATATATTTCCTTTTCTCTTGGGTAAATACCTAAAAGTGGAATAGCCAGATATGTTTTAAGAACTGCCAACACTCACTATGGTCATCTTTTTCACTTTAGCTACCCTAATAGGTGTGTGGTATTACCTCATTGTGAGTTCAATTTGCATTTCTCTAATGGTGAATGATGGTGGGCATATTTTCATGTGCTTATTTGCCATTCATGTATCTTTGATTAAATGTCATTCAAATCAAATATTTATTTAAAAAAATACTTGCAAACCACATACCTGACAGTCTTATCTAAGTATATAAAGAATTATATATCTAAATAAAGAACTCTCCAAACTCAGCAATTAAAAAAAATGCAGTTAGAAAATGGGCAAAAGACATGAACAGACATGTCACAGAAGAGCACATACAGATGACAGAGGCACATGAAAAGCTGTAGAGAAATGCAAATTGAAACTGCAGTGAGGTATCATTGTGCACCTATCAGGAGGTCTGAAATGAAAAATAATGACACCCCCAAATGCAGGCCAGGATGCAGAAAACTGGATCTCACTCATCCATTGCTGCTGAGAATGTAAAATGGCACAAGCTCTCTGGAAGAGTCTGGCAGTTTCTTATATAACCACTGGCTTACCACGTGGTTCCG